TATTATCAGATAAATCAGTCATAAAGCTCATAATTCCCAATAATTCAGGGATCTGGTTATTGAGAACATTAGTCGCTGTTATACTTGAAGGCAAATCTGGTGTATTAGTGATGGTTATAGAATAAGAAAGTTTTGGAAGAAGAACATCATTCTGAGAAGTTATTACTTTCAGGCAAAATTTTTCAGCAATTAATACTCGCCGAATACATAGTGGTTCTACACATGACTCAACCTCCATAGAATTGATAGGAGTGGTACGCATTGCACCAGTAACAATTCTAAGAGCAATATTTTGGATAACATCAAGCTTTTTTAATAATACAGGACTAATATTCATATATGCCAGACAGCTATAATCAAAATGACTACGTACTAAGCTTTTATATAATAAACAAAGAATTTTTGGATCAGAACCCCAAAAAGTTCCTGCTAAGGACCGCAAAATATTGATACCTTTCAAAGCTCTACTACAAATATAGTCAATGTGTTTGGTAAACTTTAATTTAGTGTCAAAAATTACACCAAGAAACTTTTTTCGCTATTTTGAGGGATTAAATTATTGTTATACTTAACATTTACATTAGTATCAATACCATAAGCTAAAACTGAACTTTTACTACTATTTATATTTAATTTAAGTATCTCAGTATAATAGTAGTTAAGTTGACATAAAGCTGAATTAACTTTTGCTTGAGTAACCTGTAAATTACTGCCTACACTATATATTAAGATGTCATCAGCAAATTGTAATATTTTTACAGATTCAGTCACATATGTATATATTTGTGAAGTATAAAGGTTATACAGGATTGGAGATAAAGAAGACCCTTGCATCAACCCCTTGAATGCTAATTTTGGACCATGAAAAACATTATTGTATTTAATGTATAAAGAACGACCATAATACATATGGAAAATCCATTTTAAAAGCTTTCCTGGGATGCCCAAGGAATATAGCACCCTAATTAATTGGTGAAGATCTACATTATCATATGCCCCCTGAACATCAAGGAAAACACAAATTGCAGTAGAACCTGATAACAAACACTTCTTCATATCAGTCAGGTAAGCTATAAAACTTTCTGCTGCACTTTTGCCTTTTCTGAATCCAAACTGACAAGAAGGAATAAGTTTCTGGTTTTCAACAAAATAGTCCAGTCTAATCTTAATCATTTGCTCAAACAATTTCCCTACACAAGATGTAAGAGAAATGGGTCTGTACGAATTAAAATGATCATTGGGTTTGTCAGGTTTTAACACTGGTATGACACATTGCAACCTCCAGGATTCTGGAATCAATTGCTGAGACCAAAGCGAATTTAAAATATTAAGTAGAATATGTTTTACAGAAACATGTAGATTTTGAAGCATAATATAAGGAATATCGTCAAGACCAGGAGTTGTATTCTTTCTTGAAGACAAAGCCATGTCAAGTTCTTCAAAACAAAAAGAGTTAAGTAGAAACTTGCTCCACTGACTTCCATCATTAAATTCAAATAAACCAGAAATATTATCGTTGTTATTACTAGATTGCCCTAACTTCTCTAAAAAACTTGCTATCCACTCATCATTTTTGGACACATTTCTATTAATGTTAATTCTCTTAAATCTTCTAATAAAATTCCACACTCGGGATACTGGAGTGAATCTATTAAAAGACGAACAAAGACTTTTCCAACTGTCTTTCTTAGCCATTTTTATAATAATTTTTTTCCTCGAATCTATTTTCTTATATTCTATATAATTGTCCATTGTCATATTACGTCTATAATTAGCTAACGCTTCTCTTGATTTGGTTACAGCCTCGGCACAAGTATCATTCCACCAAGGAGCTGGAGGAGCAGACTTTTTACTAGAAGATTTATGCTTTAACAATGGAACACAGTTTTCTTTTAAACTAAGTAGTAATTTAGAAAATTCATCATATTGAACTAAAGGATCAATTGTTGAAGGAGAAAATTTATCAAATATATCTTTGGATTTATCATTGTACATATTCCAGTTTGTTTTATTATATAAATACTTATGTATAGACTCTTGTACTGTATATTTTTGAGTTGAGGTAATGATGTTAACAAAAGTAGGTAAATGATAGCTCCCTAAAGAGTCATCACCGACATACCACTCACAAAGTGGTGCAATATCAGGGCTAACACAAGTAACATCAATGGCTGATGCATTATTACCAGGTCTAGAAATAGTAGTAGGGTCACCAGAATTTAAAATACATAAATCAGCATCATCAAATATATCAAATAATTCACGACCTCTTGAATTGGTAGTATCACAACCAAAAGCTATATTGTGAGCATTAAAATCACCAGATACAAGACAAGGCTTGGGTAATTGCAAAATAATCTTTCTCAAATTAATCAAACTAATTGAGCTATTATTTGGTGGACAGTAGACACAGAGCACTGAGACAGGACCACATCCTGTTATTATAGAAATAGCTATAAATTGAATATTTTGATAGAAAGTAGTTTTTAAGACCTTAAATTTAATATCATTTTTTATTAAAATACCTACACCTCCATGCTCATTTTTAGCATTTTTTCCAACAAATATATAACCAGGTATATAAAAAGGCAGACCAGAATCTTTTAACCAAGTTTCATTTAGCAAGCACACATCTATTTTATTATCATATAATAAAGATTTAAGAAGTGGTTTTTTATTATTGATACTCTGTATGTTATGTTGCATTAATCGTAAATAATCCATTATTTTGTTAAGTTTTGTATTAATATATCCTTAATGTGTGCAGTTGTGTTTGCTGTATTAGAATTGCCTAACATAACTAAAGTTTTGATAATTTTACTTAAGAACTGATCATCTTTAATGAGCTGATCATAGGAACCACTATTAGGAGGAGCAGACTGGACTGGAATTGAACTATCTGATGAATTTTGTGATAACTTTTTTTCTTAGGTTGGACAGTAGGTGAAGCTAATTTATTGTGAGCCAACTTTACAACTGATTTATCACTAGGTAACGGAGGAAAATCACTTGACAATAATACAGTTGAATACATTTTAGATGAATAATTATTTTCATGTTTTTTAATCTGAGCTGCTTTTTGAGGACAAAACCTGGATACTGCCAAGTGGTCTCCTCCACAGTTAACACACTTTAAAAATTCAGCTGAGCATTCCTTATAGGAATGACCACCTGAACACTTTGAACAAACCTGATTGTTTCTACATACTTTGGCACTGTGTCTAAATTTCATGCATTTAAAACATTGCATGAGAGGAGGAATATAAGTGAAAACTTTGTAACGCCAGTTGTCTAAATAAACATACTGAGGGAGAACAGTTCCTACAAAGGTAACGCTTATAGTAGTAAGGGGTTCTAAACCATCACAAGTTCTTTTCATGAAACGTCTAACACCAACAATTTCAGAGTCAGCCATTAGTTTGTGGTATAAATCCGCGTTACTGCATTCTTTAGGGATAAAACGAATTTTACCCACTCGCAGCTCGCTCCACCGAAGAGGCTGGTACAAAAGCTTTCATATTATTGTCACGTAAGCTAACGTGACTCAGAAAATCATTAGCAGCTGCAGCTTGTTTGAAAACCAGCATAATTTTGGCCGCATTAACTCGACGACATTCCTTAATGCCCTTCACGTTTTTGAATATTTTTGATAAATGCAAAGGATTTTTATTACCTATCTTATCTTCCATTTTAATTCCCTGTACGTAAACGGGAAACTCTTCTATGTTATTATTATCCGGGTAGGATCGCTTATACTCGGGTTTAGAGTAAGGTTTATACTTATCGACATCGTTCGATTTTACTGAGTTATCAAATCGCCTCTTTTTCGAGTCTACGGGTGACTTTGTAGACCCGTCTTCATCACCATCACTCTCTGAAGACATTATTCTCCTCCAAAAGCACTCTGTCTTGAAAAAGACAATTTAATTTAAAATAAAACAAAATTTTATTTGAAAAACGCGGCTCTCCTTTTCCCGCCAAAAAGAAAGTCCCCAATACAAGGTTACAAAAGCCTAGGGATGTGAAAAAAAATCGATTTTTTACGCGATTTTTATATTTAAAATAATCGATTATTTTTATAATTGAAAATCAATCATAGTCGATTTTTTATCTGTGTCCTTCCGACATTATGTCTGGTCTTTTATAATCCGGACCTCGAACTATTAGGGATATTCGATATACAACGATGTTTACAATGCGATACATTGAATCCGATTCTTTGAAGATGTATTGATATACTCGATGCATTGATGTTTTATTATAAAACATCGAAAGGATGATAAAACCAGTTAATTTTACAAAAAATCAAGTTTGAATGGAATACTATAATAATGTAAAAGTAAAATAAATTTATTCAGCAGCACAAGACTACATACAATTAAAAAGACAACAAAAATACTGCAATGTGCTACTGAAACGGCATACACTCAGCATCTATCAAATTTCACCTAAAACCTATCAAAACGAGATTAAGTTAATTTCGATTTTGATTATTCTTAAACGTTAATAATTTGTGTTTATAATTCCTATTGTTTATTTTTAATTAAAAAAACCATGAAAAATAAAATATTTAGGGTGCTTATTTTGAAATTAATTCAAAAATTAGGAAAAAATCGGTTTAAAAAATAATCTATTAATAAAAAATCGATTTTTTATGCAGAATGTTACATCCCTACAAAAGCCACTTTATAGTCAGTGTTGACATTTAGAAGTAAGTCAATTTTCAATGCATTTTTGTCAGTTGTCATTACTTACTGAAGTTTTCCCTGTTGGCGATTGGCAAATTTTAGAATTTTCTGATTTTCAATTAAACAAGACACTTGAGAGTTGAAAGCGATTCATTTTCATTTCTCGATTATTTTAATGTTCTCGCGTATTGTCTCGTTGCGGTTTTAACGTTGTTTGCGCGTAAACAATTTATATTAAAATACATTATTCTTATTACTGGAAGTGCAGTGGTGTGCAGTGTTAAATTGTTTTTACTTTGTACATCCATAACGATGGATGAAAAACTAATGTTGGACGATGTTTCCAGCAGTTTAAGAGATCGAGTGTTTTTTGCTGCTAGAGATGGAATGGCTTTAACGCTTTACGCGTTATTGTATGAAAAAAATACAGATGAGATAGACGACCTTTTAAACAACGTAAGTCTGATGAATATCAATACATATATTGTCGACTGAAAAAGAAAAACGTTCATAATAATGTCTATTTTTATCCGTGTAAATCTTTATGATAGCTGATGCGTGATTCTAGTGCGTTGTGCAATTATTTTTGTTGCGACATTTTTGTTTTTGAAGGCCTTATGCATTCATTCGGAATTTATTCATCCTAATAACATAGTTTGGCAGCAAATGTAATAATCAAAATTAGTTTAACCTCAAAGAAAACCATTGTTGAAAGGAATCAATCAACTTTTTTACTCAACAATGGAATTTGGTGGTGTTTACGTTATGTTTTACTCTTACTTATTTACATGATTGTATACTTACAGCAAATAGTACCTAATATATATTTTACTCTTATTAAATAGAACACATTATTTACTTTTATAAAATAAAGGGTAAGCATTTGCTCATTTGATGTTAAGAGATACTGCTGCCCACGTTCACACACTGCCAGAATATTCTCAAGTGCATTGCAAACCCATTTAAAGTTTATAATTTATTTTGTAAAGGCAAAACTACTACTAAATAAAAAAAATTGGCTGACATGCAAAATATTCCATTCTTATTATCTAACATAGCTAAGTTTTTAAAATTAATTCGGTATCTGTGTGTTTTTTCAGACACGTACATTGATAGAATTAATATCTATAAATATAATAAGCCTCAGGGTCTTTCCACATAACAAAATCTCATTAAACCCTGCATATCAAGTCTAAGGAGTTATTGCAACATAAAATTACATGTGAATAGAATATTTAAATGAATACACAAAGTAGTATATAGTATAGAACTTGCTGAATCTTTTAGGGTTGCAATAAAGTTATGGAACTCACTACCTGTCAATACATCATTCATGGATTAATATGTATTTTCCCTTAAATAATGTCATAACCGTAGGCTATTCTGATTTTAAATCCCTTTATTATTTTCAAAGATTAGATATGTAACATGTGTAAGATCTATCCTTAATTCATGTGAAACAGTGCATGATAAATGTTACTCACACTTTTCTTTATAAATATATTACTTCATATTACACAAATTATGCATGGTTGGTTGAATCTTTAACTTTAATAAGAATGTATCTTCTAAAAACGAAGTTAAATATAATCTTGTATCTTAAGTTGACCTATATCTTTATTAAATACCTTTTATTTTTTTTTGCTTTTAAATTTCTCTTTTGAACTATTATTTTTAATTGTGAAGTATAATGCTTCCCATTTATTTTACCAGTTGCTTTAGCTTCTTTTGGCAAAACACCTAAAATATACTCTCTTACCTTGTTCTGCTTTTACAATATAAAACAAATACTATTAAGATTTACACATACATACATGTATATATATATATATATATACATAGAAAGATTTTGAAAAAGAAAAAAGTTTTTGTTTATTTTTATTATGCAGATGTAGTAGTAGTAGGTATATATCATTTATATGCAATCCTTTATCATCTCATGCATGTCAATTAAATAATAGATATAATAGGTTTTCTTTAATTAAGAATATATATTTATATGTTAATAGTATTATTTGATTGATTATATACTCAAACTCAAAATAACTTTATTCATATAGGTACACAAGTACACTTATGAACGTCACACAAGAAGTTAAATTAATTGTAATTTTACATTTACTGCCGGTTCGCAAGTCAAGGGCGTAGAGCGGGCCAGAAGAAGTGGCAAGAAACTTTCCTCCACTCTTTTTAATCGCTAAGTTTTGAGTCATACAAATTGTTTAAACTGGAGAAAATCAATCCCAAGGATTAATATCATGAAATATTCGTCAAATTTATAAAAAGCTTAATTGATTAATTTACGTTTAACGAGGGCTTTGAATTTATTTAGTGATAATTCTCTAATTTCGCTTGGGAGTGTGTTGTAAAAACGAATACAATTTCCATATAAGGAGTGGTTTATCTTCTGAAGCCTGGTTGGTCGTACACTCAAATTAGTTCTGTTTCGATTATTATACCTGTGAAAGTCACCATTTGTTTTAAAATCGTTTTAATTTTTTTTTCAATTCGAAACTGAAGTGCCTGCAATTACTCTACTCAATCGTATCAACATAAATTCATTGCTTAATGAAATAATAGATTTGTAATATGTTGTGTGTTTTATTAATTATAGGATGTATGCTGTGATGGAGTCAAATGTACACCACTTATAGCTGCTGCAAGGCATGGGCGCGAGGCAGCAGTACGAATACTTTTAGATAAATTCCGTCCTCCTGTAAGACTTGAAACGGAAGGCACTGTAAAGTTTGACGAATATGTCATTGAAGGTAAGCAAAATGAAACCCATTAAGGCGATAGCGTATTCTGATGGCGTTAAATTGGCGTAAGTTATCTCAATGGGTCTGTAATTTATGCAAGTATAACACTAAAAATACCGTTTTGAATTAATAAGCGCATGGCAAAACTCTTGAGATCTTTGAAAAAAATATAAACTGGCGGGATTTTACTCAGCCCAGCTTACATATTATAAAATAAAATGCCGGCTGTGTCTTTTTGTGCAAGTTTAAGAGATGGCTTTAAGATTTGCCAAAATACTCGAAATCTTTCCGGACGAAGCTGCGGGATTATTAGCATTACCTAACATTTTATTATTGAAAATTGTGACTATAAAAAAATATTTGTACTATAATCACCACTAATCTGTGTCATACTCACCTAATTAATCACCCATTTACGAATTTAATAATACGAATTATATTACTAATATGTAATTATCATAATTACGAGATTTATTATCAAATTGATAGAGTCGTAAATTAAAACTTCCTATAGTCATGCTGCGAAGCCTATTTTACATTTTAAGTCTTATCAGTAAAATGTAGAGTCATCAGTACAAATAAAAAAGCTTACCTTGGCGCATTGCCGACGTGTATTCAAAATAAAAAGAAATTATCTGCCCTTAAATTAATTTTAAAGAATTATTTTGAAAAAAGTAACATTATTTAATTGTAATAATGGTTTTATAATTAAAACCATATGGGACATTATTCTCAGTGATAACGATGGTACTCAATAATTAAGTAATGATATGATATATGATATGATTATGCAATGTCGACTCGTGTTGTTTGTTTTATTATCTCTCTTTTACGTTTTTGCCGGGTCATAATAGTATAGGATAGCGAAAGATTCCCGACAAAAAAGGTCGGAATGAGGCCCCTACATGTACTAGCGGATCCGAATCACGTTAGCCAATGACAAATTAAAAGCCAAATAAAAATAGTCGAAAAACGGGATTAAAAACCGCCTTCATCGGCGAAGCCGTGGACCTTTACTTCGCACTTCGCTCACTCCAGTGAGCTTCCGTCCTGCCCTTCAGGCGATTGACTACCCCACGACGGCCCAAGCCGAGGTTCGAGACTCACAGGAGACGCCATAGTGCTAGTCGCGGGAAAAACGCCCATTCCGAGCTACGCTCGCCAAAACAGCGCGAGCGAGCTGGGCTGTAAAGACCCTTGAGACCAACGAGATTCCATTAAAAAAAAATTGAAGATCGAAGTCCCGACATTTGGAGATTTTTGTCAAGTGACAAGCTAAAAAAGTAACTAGCCAAATAAGTAATACATTAAATTTTGTTAAAAAGCCCGCAAATGACGCCTAATCTTATCTAAGGTAGAAACTAGAAACCCAATATAGATTATTCTCTCGATTTCCATAGTACTTGCGAAAATTTGGAATTACATGATAAAAAACTTCATTATTGTTACGTGGTCGATGTTAATTATAAATTTGCTGTTGTTTATAAAATCTGGAATAGTTCCTTATTCTGTTGAATGATTGATAACCATGGTATTAGCTGGTTATCATGCATATGTTTCATCTATACTTAGATATGGAATTATAGTTTGGGGAAAAACAGTCGAAGTGAAGTATTTAAGGCTCAGAAAAATGTATTAGCAATTTGTGGAGCAAACAATCTTGAGAGTTGCGTAAGGTCACCCGGGGCGAAAGCAACTATGGGGCTAAAGTGACTAATTGATTTTATTCACAATTTAATGATTTTTGTAAAACTGCCATCTGTTGAAGAGTAGAGCAATTATTACTTTTTTTTATAAAGTCTAGATGGAGCTTTTAAGTCGCTAACTGTTGTACTGACAGAGGCTTTTTTGACTCCGCCATTTTGGAGCAAAGTTTTGCGCGCCGTCTGTTTAGTTTTGTGCCATAAAAATATTTCACGTTATTTCCAGCCAAATTGAAGGTTCATCCTAATATAAAAGATAAAACGTAAGTGCTTTTGGTTGGTTAAAGGCTAAGTCTTTTAATTAACATTTTATTGACATAGTTACATTAACCTCAAATTTTTTGTGCAGATGGGTAATTGCACTATTTTTGCAGTTGCAATAGCCCCATTGTATTTGTATGAAAAAATCAAATCACTAGTGAAGTCCGTGTCGATATTTCAACAAGTGAATTCACTATTTGCATAAAATATTTACCTTGGTATCTGTGACGTATTTTTTAAACTTATATATTGTTTTTGTTAATAATTTAATTGAATTTATTTACATAGAAAACTTAATAATACGTGTTATTGAAAGGCAGATTAGGCTCACAAACATCAAACTAAAACTATGAAAGCCTTACATAAAGTACGATTTGTTAATCTGCAGAAAGACGATACTACGCATCTGCCCAGTGAATCTCTCATTCAGAAATTGGCAGTAAGAATCTGGACTGACAATATTATCCTAGGTTTAATGATTACTCACATCATGTGGCATTATTAAATGCCAATATTATTAAGTCACTAGACTTAAGCAAAAATGTTGATGTTAATTCCCAAAAAATAACTTTAGCAAGACTGCGTTTTTGTACTTACTTTCATGTTATCTATTATACTTACTGTCCTTAGATGTTTATTTGATTATAAGAAATGTTAAAACCTTTTACTATGAAGATTTATTTTTTAATGAATCGCATTTTAATTCTTTACCTTAAAGCAACTATAATTTTTCGGTCCTTTCATCGAATTTTTTTTTCACGAAATTTATCGATAAATTTAGTAGTCGTATCTTCCAACACTAGCAATGGGGGTCGCATTCGCCCCATAAAAAGTTTAAATTAATTTTTCTGGAAACTGAGCCTTATTCCCAGCACCTTACCAATTTCAGATACCTGTATGTGAAACTATATATACCCTTATTCCAAACGTATAGTACGATTACAACAAGGTCATTTAACTGATAGTTGCATTAGCCTCAAGGTGGGGTAAATGTAACTTTTAGTGCTCTATTCAACAAGAATGTAAATTATTCAATAACTTAAGCCTATTTTTCACGTACTTTATGTCGGAACTATTCAATGAAAGGCATGGAATAAAGTAAGTTCATTTAAATCATAATTAGGTAGCTAATGGTAGAGGACACAAAGTACCAATTTATAAATTTTTAGTTGCTTTCGCCCCGGGTGACCTTACCTTTGTTTAAGATGCTCAAAATTTTTCTCTTCCCTGTATGTATATTTTAGAAATGTCCTTATTCGTTCATTAAAACATGGACAACCGTCGAGTAAGACATGGAGAAAGTGGCTACGCCAATAATTAATCTGGAATTGTATAGGAAAAACACCTTTTGTATGGCAATCAAGGTTTATAATAATCTATCAAAAACATTCAAAGATTTTCCTACACCAGTTTTTATAAATGGACTTAATCTACTTTCGGAATAAATGTATTATTCTATTAATTATTATTTACGTGAAGCATTATAATGAATATATATTTGATAACGTAATCATATATTTTAATAATGTAGTGATAAAATAATATAAGAATTGACTATAATGATATGACCGATAATGTAATTGTAACTTCTATGTAAAATTCTACGAATAATGAAGAATATGCGAACTTTAGATTGTACGACCGCAATATTTTTATACTATATTCTTGAATTAAAATAATTATTATTATAGACAACAATTAACAGTCTCTTCGTCAAATCGTAATGAGACAGGGAAGACAAAATAAAGGCTTCGTCATATCTTTAAATACTCGAGAATTATGTCGTCAGAAAGATTCCTTTATTTCGGATATTTTTCGTTTGTCACTACTGTATATTAGTGACAAACGAAAAATATCTCTCAAAACCGTTTACGACGACATCGTTAAGAACAACATACCACTTATATTGACCAAAATTAAAGGTCCCGGCAGGTAAGTATGTATTAAGCCGTAACGAAATTAGTGGCATGAAATTAATTTCGTGACATTAGCCTTAGCAACAGTTTTAACGTATAATTTAATATTTTTGTAATGCATGCATTAATTTCATAACAGAGTTTCGTGCCCTCCGCGATTATTTGGGGAAATTAGTTTCATGCAACTAATTTAATAATGTAATTCCGGCTTTAGGTACTTAATAACAACGCCATCGGCATCGGCTGTTACGACTATCGGTTTTTACGACCAAATATGAGTAGTCCTTTCGATGTCGTTACTCGTTATAATAAATTTTGACTGTAATTGTCTAAAATATAACATACTGAATAATACTAATATATTGCATGTGTCGTTCGCACATTAATGTTTTAATTCTTCTTTAGTTAAAAAAATTTGTTTACGTATCGGGCGTGTTCTATTTATCAAAGGGATGTACTCTCTTGGGGTCGTGTGTCGTTGACTTTTTACGCAGTCATCCGCCCGTGCGCGTGGCATTTTATAATTAGCTTGCCCGCTTGTACACAAAGAAACTGGTAACGTGTTCGTTCACAAAGTTTGGCAATAATCCAGATCTTTGTGCGTTTATGATTTATACCAATTAAATTCTATTTGTTATAAATCGCTGGCTATGCTGACTTGCAATTTCACAAAACGCGATAAGTTTATTTGTTATCATCGCGTAACTGAGGCTGGGATTGAAATAGATTAGATGCTTTGTTCCGCAAATAATGTATATTTTTGAAGTTATACTTCTTTTGGCGCGTTAAAATGATGAGAGTAAATTTTTGCGATGCGCGCGCACACCGTCACAAAAAACCGACACCCTGAAGTTAGCTATAGTCAACATTTTATTTTGTGATATTTAAATAAACTTTATTTAACTAGATAATGCGTTATAAACTTTCAATGTATTAAATACCTTTTTTCTATTCTTAGTGTAGTTTTTTCTACAGACGTAGAATAATTTTTTTTGAAAAGATTTGTGTTTTGTTACGTCAAAGAAGTATAACTTTTAATGCGTGTACATAATTACACACACGTTTTTTTAATAAAGTCTGTTTTATTGTATGCTTGTTTATAATGATGATAAATACTCATTTAGTTGACTATAATTGCTTTATTCACGAACAAAAGGAAACATTTTAATTTTTATTTGCTTTTAGAAACCATCAGGGAATTTTTGTACTTGACAGGTTAGTTTTCATCGTAGACAAATAGATTAGGTTTTCGTTTTCACCACCACCAATCCCCAACCAAATTTACTAGATGACTGGTTTCGATATTTTATATGTCCGATGCAAACTTCATGGTGTATCGGAGTGTCGTAACGATGCGCAAAATGTAAAATTTGTATACAACGTTGTATAAACTTTTACCGGAACTGAGCATGGATTTGTTGCTAACTTCCGAGCTGTCATAAAATTTGTATCGAACGAAGATCGCTTGTCGTTATTTCGACTTATAAAAGCGCCATCTAGCTTCTCTTAACAATTGTTGGTGAAAACGTTTCGAATGTGTGTTATAGAACTTTTTTAATATTCCAGGAGCCACAGCGCTATGGTGCGCGGCAGGCGCTGGTCACTTAGGAATAGTGAAAAGACTTGTTCGAGCCGGGGCCAACGTGAATCATGCTACGAAGACTTTAAGTACCCCACTGAGGGCTGCTTGTTTTGATGGCCGCTTGGATATCGTGAAGTATTTAGTCAGGCATGGTGCTGATATTCACAAGGCGAACAAATACAATAACACCTGCCTAATGATTGCGGCGTATAAGGGGCATTTGGATGTCGTAAGTTTATTTTTACATGTCACATATTATTTATTTTTGCTTGTAGCGCCATCTAGCGAGTTAAACAGCAACCACAACTTAGCCGAAATACAATATACAATTGCTATATAAATACTATACGAAAATTAAACTAGATAGTTCTGGAATATAAATGAGAAGACGGGTCACTTGTTAACGGCCGCCCGTGAACACCTGGAACGCTGGAAGGCTCACCTGCAATGTTCACTTGTATGAGCTATTTATTTCTCGGTAGGAAAACAATTCAAATAAGTCATGCAATCATCGCAGCCTATTTGGGTGCTTTGCCGGCCTTTGAGGGAGGAGTATACTCTTGGTAACAATCGCAATTGGTCGCAAGGTCGCAAAAGAAAGCTTTATACAACTTGTCGATCTTAGTCACTATGACCTTCAAGTCGAGGATCCTCCCTTTAGGTCTGATGCTGCTCTTCCTCCACAATACGTTAAACTGAGTGAAAATGGTTCCAGGTACAATTTTTATTGGAAAGCGGAACAAGAGTGGACGATAGAGCGCTATGCGGTGCGACTGCGTTGCACTTTGCAGCAGAATGTGGACATGCAGCCGTCGTTTGCGCACTGATTGACCATAACGCCAAAATGCTTACTAACCAAAACGGTAAGAGAGTGTGGTCGAGTAGAAGACGAAGTCAAGAGCGACGTCTTAGTTATATTCCAAGTTAGCGGAAAGTTCAAGTTTCATCAAAATCGGTTCATTTATTTTTACGATGTGCGCGCACACCGTCACAAAAAACCAACACCGTGAAGTTAGCATAGTCAACATTTTAAAACAAAAAATGTCCTTTTCTTTAATTTTTTTGTGATATTTTAATAAACTTTATTTAACTATTTAGTGTTATAATAAAACTTTCAATGTAATTAATATATTTTTTCTTCAGAGCTTAAGCTTAGCAGAAAGCTTCTTGCCAGTTCTTCTTGTCCGCTCTACGCCCTTGACTTGCGAACTGGTAGTAAATGTAAATTTAGAATCAATTTAACATCTTTTCCGTTGACGTTCATAAGTGTACTTGATTACCTTTATGAATAACGGTTTTTTGAGTTTAAATTTTGTGTGATAAAGTTTCATAAATAATGTTAATGGTATAAGAAAAGCTCTCGCGCGTGACGAAACGAATATGGCGGCGTGCAATGTTGCCATTGTAAAAAAGGTTATAATGGGCCCTGGATAAGGTTTTAAAAACCGTTTCAGATTATTCATTAGTGACTATAGAACCTATATAAATTGTTATTTTCAATTCTTTTAAGTACACAAATACCCATATCCGAGTAACTCCAAAAGTATTAGGTTTAGACAATCGATTGAAGTTACGTGTGTATTTGTGTAATTTTAGAACTCACTTAATCTAGGTTCTATTGTCACTAGTATATGAAATAGTTTTTAATCCGGTCAGATAGCCAATAACCTTTTTTACAATAGCAACATTGCGAAATTATGAACCGATCGTTACGCGCGTGTGGGGCAGAGCCTTGAGTGGGGCGGCTGGAGCTGAGGACATAGGCTCAATCAATATGTATAAATATATTATCGTTGGTTTAATAAAATGACTTTTATATTGCAGACATGACACCGCTGCAGTGTGCAGCGGAACGCGCCCGTGCGTCAGTAGTGGAAATACTCGCGGCGAGGCCGGACGTCACGCGCGCTCAGGCGATTGATGCTTTTGAGCTACTTGGCGCTTCGTTTGCTAATGATAAAGAATATTATTGTTTACGGGTAAGATTATATTTGATTGAAACCACCCACTAGTTGTGGGATATGTGTGAATTGTCTTTAATAAGGCAAATCACTAAATTAAAGACGAATAATAATATCTTATTTCAGATTGTTTTACACATTTATTTCTGTCTCATTCTTTTTAGGTTTTTGTGTGCCCTTTTTTGGCAAAGGCCTCCAAATCCCGCCATTCCTATCTGCTATGTACCACCTGTTGTTTCCTTTATTTAGTCTATTCACCTTCTAAAGTGTCTACATAGTACTACCAATCGATGAATAAAAAAAATGATATTTGTTTTCCCTGTTCACACGTCTTAAAAACATCACCTAAACATTTCTCGTATCTACTTGAACACACATATAATATTAAAACACTGACACCGATTTTAGAGACGATATTAAGATGACAAAGGGAAATCGTTAGTGATAATGTTCTGTGCTCAAAGCATGAACAATATTATGTCAATTAATGTAACCTGTGCATTTACAATGTGTTCTACTCTGTGCAATCTTTATATTAAATACTTTTTAGTTTTTTTAAATATAAATGAAACAATTGATTGACAGATGGCGTATCAATACCTACACAGAGCGATGACGATGAGATACGACACTCGATATGGTCAGCTGCTGAAGAAACCCGCCGATCCCATACCGGCCTATGATAACTGGCGAGAAAGTACCACTTTGGAGGTAATTTCAAAAATACCGTTGTTATTTTAATCTTACTTTTATAATACATTTTTAAAATTACCACATTGTACAGTAAAACTTGTAATATTTATGTGGAATCAGCTTCCCACTGAAGTATTTCCGAACCAATTCGACTTAGGGTTCTTCTAGAAAAGAGCGTACCAATTCTTAAAAGGCCGGCAACACACTTGCGATCCCTCTGGCAATGTGAATGTCTATGGGCGGTGGTGACACTTAACATCAGGTGAGCCTCCGGCCCGTTTGTCTGTTACATAAAAAAATTAAGTGGTCACAAGTTGTTTCGTCTGTGGTACATTTTAATGGATGATTTGATTTTTGACCTCAGGAGGTGGAGAGACTACACGGTAACCCACACGCGTTGCACATGGAAGGTCTAACAGTCCGCGAGAGAATTCTCGGTCGCACATGTCCAGATCTGCCCCACCCGGTGGTGTTTCGGGGCGCGGTTTTTGCTGACGAAGCAAGATTCGAACGGTGCCTCGCGTTGTGGAGACACGCCCTTACACTACGGATTCTTAACTCTGTAAGTTGATCTTGGTTGATTTATGTGAATATTGGTGTATACTGTTAACAGCACATATTATATAGGCCATAGATAATATTTTCTAGGCATGAATCTCTGCGTGTCACACGGCGTCCATTTCTAGATTTTCACTGACTAATAACACTTTTTCTTTTTCCAGGTGTCGGTTGTTAAAGATCTACTGAGGTTCGCTCAGGTGTTTTCGCAGATGATTCATATTGGAATTGAATTACCGCTTTATCAGGTAATATTATTCGATTTCTTACTAAAATTGCGCTAGTTCATTCTGTTCCGGCTCGAAGGACCAAACCAAATTGATTGGATGCCACGAACTGTTTATATACTGATTATATATTAGAATAGTTTTAAGTTACTAAAGTAGACTTTAGTAACTTAAAACAACGATTAACATTTTTTTTTATTGCGCAACAGATAAAATAATCAAAAAACTAAATAATAAAATACGTTTAAAGTGTGTATAAATATAGTCTTGAAATGTGACTAGATTTGGTAAAAATTACTAAAAATAAATCAGAACGCTACACCTTTTAGGGCCCCCAGTGCCTGAACCCCTCATGATCAATTGTCAATCTAATCGGCAAGTAGATGATCAGCCTCCAGTGCCTGACACACGCCGTCGACTTTATGGGTCTAAGGCAAGCCGGTTTCCTCACGATGTTTTCCTTCACCATTTGAACGAATGTTAAATGCGCACATAGAAAGAAATTCCATTGGTGCACAGCCGGGGATCGAAGCTACGACCTCAGATGAAAGTCGCATGCTGAAGCCACTAGGCCAACACTGCTCATAACTTATATATTTATTTATAAATGTTGTGTCACAGTGTTTTTAACCAAACTTCTATGAAACGGCTTCACCCACCTTTATAATTTTTTTTTAATTATTAGGTTTAAGGAAAGTTATTTTATAAGTGACTAGCCGTTTCGCGCCCGCTTTGCTGGACGAATTAAAATAAATTTTATGTTTCATTATTTTATTTTTTTTCATATTTTTATTATTCTTCTTTTTAACTTCCCGCTAAGAAAATTGAAATATTTCGAAAATCGAGTTTTTAACAGATGTTGACGTTTAGAGGTTCTAGGAAGCCTCCCCGAATGTTTCCGCGGTGAAGTCCGTATGGATAAATTTTCATAAAAGTAAAACAGCAATAAAAAAATGAAGGAACGTTGGAATTTAATAAATAAATAGCCATAAACCATCTAGGTCATTAACATTCCATCTGGTGGTAGTTTCATGTCGATACGATCAGTGGTTTCGGCGTGAAGGAGCCTCAAACGAAGACCATTTTTCTTTTATATATATAGATAAAGGTGACCCATTTTTTACCTCAAAAAAGTATTTAATCAAAGAACGTTTTTCAGGTATGTTTTGTGTTGGAGGCTTGCGCTGAAGAATTGCGAAGAGGTATCAAAAGACTCGAGATAGAGAGTGACACTGAAGCATTGATAGTACGTTTCATCTTCTTACCCTTTTCTGCGTTTTTTAATTAAACGTAAATGGCTTGACCGATTTTGATAAAAATGTTGTGTTCGTGGATTCGAGAATGGTTGAAATCTATAGTTGGATGTTTTTTTTTTTTTTTTTTTTGTGTGTGCCCGCCAGTTGTAGTAATAAAGAAAAACTGTTTGATTGCCGTACTTGAAGTTTTAAAAGTTTGTATTATTACAAAAATTTTACTACCAGATAATATAGTGTTCCTATTTAATTTAATAAATTGGTCATCGTTTTAGGTACATAACAAAGTAGTTTTGCATCGTCATGTAAAGAGGGTATTAAAACACGAGTGAAGTTCAAGATAAGATTTAAGAGTGTTTTTATGTTAAATAATTGTATATTTATTTAATCTCATGCAAGGCTTCCAATCCGGTAAAGTCTTGATCAACATTTGTCGTACGCTTTTAATGATTGTAAAGACTATTGTAGTATCGTAGCTTTTCAAAGACAGGTGGAGTTAAATTTTCATCACTATAGTTGGATGTTGCTTGACTTTATTGCTATTAAAGATGTATGAACAAGTCAGTTCGCTAGTAATAAACGATAATGGAAATAGATAAATGAAATTTTTGTATATTGGCCTACTACAGATTGTGTAAATTGAATTTGTGGGACACTATATATTAAAAAAAAAATTAGTTTCTGTTAGGAGAATAAAAATCTAATTTTTACTTTTCATGAATAATATAGTTAGTTAAATTGGTTCAGTAGTTTTAGAATATTACCATACTAAAAATTCTTTTATATATATGTACACGTTGTGTACTATGTATACGTTTTGGATATCTTTAAACTAATAAACCATATTTTTAATAAGAGGACACGAAAGGAAAGACTTGAGTTAGTTTAAATTAAATTCTGTAGTGAGGTCTTTTTCAGGAGGAGTACGAGAGCAATGTACGGACTGCTCTCTATCTCGTTGCTGTGGCTGCTAGGTTGCTTGAGAATCCTAATAATGATGAGGTGAGAATCGCTTATTTAAAATTTCAAAATAAGGAAAAAATTCCTTAGTAAAATAAATTATGTATTACGTACGACTGTGTGCGTTTTTCTTTTGCTCTTTTTTTTTAAATAAGGGAACGTTCAAGTATTACGTGACGCAATTTTTGGAGATTATTGACCCCCCATGTAACGCGCCGTAACGTTTTTCTGTACCCACTAGTAAAACGTTTCGTGACCACCTAGTGACTCTTTATACCTAATATTTACCATTATATGGTGTAAAATACTGGAAAGTCTAAAATAATATTAACAATAACGCGTAATTCAATCCCGCCCCGCATCGTAACGTTTTACGAAACGACCCCCCAAAATTAGTTACGTAATACTTGAACGCTCCCTAACGCATATTGTTATAAAAAGTAGGCAGTGTATTTACATCAGAAATCCCTGTTATCGACAGCGTATAATAAAAGAAAAAATGATAAATACCTCTTTCATAGTTCGCTAAGTATTTCCTTTGCGAAGTAGCGAGCTGTGGCTTTCAGTAGAGGTCTTTTCGGGGTGATACGAAATGCATATTAAACAAAAAAAACTACACTTTCAATGCCAGAGGGCTCGTTGTCGGCCTATTAAATCTCAAATTGTTTTTATTTTCGTTGTCCCATTATAGTTTTGTGTTTGCAGCAAACAAACAGACTGACAAGATGTTCGGTGTTCAATCTGCGTGATGTGAGTCTTCGTACGGGCGGTACTCTGTTGCACCTCGCCGTGGACAGACGGACGCCAGTTGACGATTTTCATACTAGTGATGTTTGCCAGTAAGTTGTCTATGTTTTTATTAATATACTAGCTGACCCGGCAAACGTTTGTTTTGCCATGTATATTATTTATAGGAATCATTTTTTTACTTCAATAGAAATAACTATCTACAATAATAAAAAATAGGGGTTGATCGTAGAGGAGTGAAAAAGGGGTTGTATGTATATTTGAATGCTGTATCATAAAATAATACAAACAAAAATTAGAGATAAGGGGTGGATTAGGGGCTTGAAAGATAGATAGTAGCCGATTTTCAGACTTACGGAATATGCATAAAAAATTTCATAAGAATCGGTTGAGCCGTTTCGGATTATGGGAACTAACATTGTGACACGAGAATTTTATATATATAGAGATGTATACACTTATTATACACTTGCTATCTCTTCCAATCCGTACTAAAATAGAGACAATAATAGAAAGAGTTTTTGTTAAACGCCTATTTTAGAGTACTTGCCTGGCAAAATTCACGATTTCACCCGCGCGTCTCCCTCTCTAGTGAGACGGACTATACACTATACAGTGTTTCGCGGAACAAAATGAAGTAAACGCCAAATGCTTTTTATTTAAATAACTCGAAAAATATACAATATTTAATAAAATCGCTAGTAATAGCTCTCGGCCAAACTAATGTGCTGTGATTCAATTACTTTTTGGATCCATAATACTCGCCATGATTGAATTAAAACGATATTAGGCAAAAGTTAGAGGTGTTTTTTTTATCGAGGAATTTATATTGTATTGTGTTTTTAATTAGAGTTAACCATTGAAATAATAGTGAAGGATCAATATGTATATATAATTATTGTTTTTAATTCAAACGTCACAAACATAGATGAAATCAAATCTATGTGATGAGTGATGGAGTGTCTTACCCATTCTTGTCCATTTAAAACTTCCTTTTGGAAGGGGCAACTAATGTCATTTGTAAAAAAATATTATTAATTTGTAATTTTGACTATGAGTGATTGTTTATGGTTAGTGCCCGCTCTTCAGGAAGTACATGAAAAACATGGCGTCAGGGTTTAGAGCACAAATATTGCATTAATAGTACAAATTAAGGTAATTCAAATCATCTTCAATAAAGGGCCTTATAGGTAACAAGCGATCTCTTCCAGGCACCACTTATAAGGAAAAAATTATCGAGAACGTTTATGATTTAAAAGATTATCTTAACGGTTATAAACTTAGGCCTTATTTGATCTGACAACTCTTTTTATAATCGACTTCAGAAAAAGGCGGGGTTTACTAATTGAATCAGTTGTTTTATTTTTATTTAAGAGGTGACAATATCTCCTTACATTATTATGATCGGGTTTTTGAAAATTAATATAATAATAGCTGCATACACATCGCGATTTTTTAAAGGTTTTTCTAACATTATATTCATACTCGTACATTGGTTCACTAAAACCAAGGCATCTCGAAAGATGACGAAAGAGGAAAGAGACGAATCTCTTTCCTTCAAATTGGATTTACGCTGTGATGAAGAGAGATAGATGAATGATGTGAACTTAGAGTTAGGATAAACGCTGCAATTTTATTCAGTTTATAACGAGGCATGAGTATCGAATGAATTTGTTCGAATTTCAGATTCCCTTGCACAAGAACCACTAGACTGCTTCTCGAGTGCGGCGTGAATGTGGACGTGGCCGATGACTCGAGGAGAACTGCGCTACACGTTGCGTTGCTGTCCTATCAGTATATGCCTGGTGAGTGCTATCAATATTTTCAGAGAGGTTTTTTACTGTTTATTTAATTTTTTAGTTAGTTAGGTGTAGTTATTGATAAATGTATAAAAATACGTATAAATAATAATGTTATAGTAACGGTAATTCGATTTATTTTTATTTCAATCTATATAATTACTGAAAATAAACGTTTCGCGCTCTCTGACTAGCCATGGTGAAAATAGAAGATTTTTTATGTTTGTGAGTGAAAAACGGGAATTATCACTTTTTCACCCTATAATGAAATGAAATGTTTTACCGTGTTTTGTATATTTTGTAATTTTAAGCTATTGCATAGATTTATCGCGAGCTTTGATCGCGGTGACCGAATCAAGAAATTCCGTAACGAAAATAAAAACATAGCACACAATTCCGTAACGAAAATAAAAACCTAGCACACGATTCCGTAATATAGGTGCGGCCAATACGCGTTAGAGCGGGACAGAACGCATTCTGCGTCTCACATTGGTCTGGCGTGATCGGTGACGTAGCGCAGGTGCGTTAGAATGGGACAGAACTCATACTGTGTATTCACATCTCTCTGAGGAGATCGGTGATTTATGCCCGCCTTCGACTGAGAGCGGAACGGACCCATTACGGACTCCGCTATACTCCTAACGATATTTTCGTTTTCATTTCCGTGGGAAACTCGGTCAACTCGCTAACCTAATATGTGACTATTTCAACTCGCTCTCTCCGCTCCGCTCGTCTCCGCTTTGGTGGAAGCACATATATGAAAATCATCGTTACGAGTATAGCGGAGTCCGTAATGGGTCCGTTCCGCTCGCAGTGGAAGACGGGCATTAGCGTACTCGCGGCCGGTGCAGCCGGTACGCGTTAGAGTGAGACAGACTATAGACTATATAGGCGTGTTAGTCTGAGTCTGGTAGAGTAGTAGATTGAGTTAATATCAAAGAAAAAATACTGCATAAATAAAAAAATATAATTGCATAAGTTGATAAAAAATGCTATGCAATAGCTTTACTGCGGCAGTCCTCGAGTGCCATACGTTTTTTTATTTTTATTTTGCTAATTGCAAAGCAGTCGAAGGCAGAGGCTAAGTATAAATGTGCAGTCCTATGTGTAGAGGAACGGGAAGCGTGGAGCGAGGCGTTGTGCGGCTGTGTGTGTGAGTTGCTCGCACGCGGCGCACACGTTGACGCTATGGACATGGACGGGATAACCCCACTGGTCGCTTCTATTGGAGGTACGTATACATTATGAAAGCAGTGTTGGCGTAGTGGCTTCAGCGTGCGACTCTCATCCCTGAGGTCGTAGGTTCGATCCCCGGCTAGCTGTAATAAAAAAAAACCAAAATGTTTTTACAAATCTCCAATTTCATAGGTAAAGACTTACAACTATTTGATTTTAATATTTAACCTTTCTGTTCTTTCACGATATCGTGGAATATACTTCTATGTAATAATAGCTTAAAATTTGCATATACATATTTAAAATGTTAGGTTATATTATGGTGACAATTTACGTAACACAAAGATTTCGTTATTTCATAGAATGGCAAATATTTTATCCCAGCCAGCCAGCAGCGTATTGTTCTCAGCGTATTGTACACTTTATTAGCAAAAAGTTCTTTGTTTCCTTTTGGGGTTTAAACACATAAAGACCTGGTTAATATTTGGCTACAGCGACCCCGACTTCAATGTAAGGTTTATCTACCCAGCGATCGCGAGGTTGTTTCCATCAGCGCTACAAATATTCCAAGAACTTTATCAAATTGCATACAAAAACGTTGGGATCGCTTCGCTATTGAAAGTCACGAAATATCGGCGCAGGCCTAATTTTATTTATTTGATAAAAAAGAAAAGAAAGATCTATAATTTTAAAATTAAAATTTCTAGGTCCAGCAGAGTCTCTTGTCCGTTCTGCGCTAAACCCTAGGCTGAGCTGCTTAGCAGCGTCTGCGCTGGCGCACCACGGATCGAAGTACCGTCCCGAACAAGTGCCAAAAGATTTACACGATTTCCTCATCATGCACGGAGTTTATCCAGTATAATTTAACTTTAATTTCATTGCAAAATATACTTTAACACGAAGCAATAAACACGTAGCTCATATTATCTTTACTGAAATATAGAACTCTGAAGATCCATCAGATCAGACTCTACTGTGCAAAAATGTTACGTCAAATTTAGGAACTGCTCAAAGGCTTAAAGATATATTATTATATTCTTTAAAATATAGGCTAACCACAGATATCATATCGTGGCACCTATACACACATACTAGGTCGTGTGACGTCTTTGACATATCCCGTATATTATTATTTTCATATATTTAATTTCTAAAAATAATATTGATGCATTGTTTTTTATAATTATTCTTTTTTATACAACAATGTTTGGGTAATTTAGAAATTGCGGAAAGGTTCACGTAAAAATTAAATGGTTAGCGAAACTATAGAGCAAAACTTGCCATTTAATTTGACATTACAAGACTATGATATTCTATATTTTAAAGCTTTATATAAATGAAACCATCGATATTTATCATATGTCAAATTGTAAAATTATTTTTCTTCGTTATTGTCTAAAACCTCGTCTGTGTAATCTTTAATATACTGACATAGGGCATTGTGCCATTTCAGTCAAATAGCCAGTGCACAGAGCATATATAATAAAGCTGTTTGAGCAGTTTTAAATTTAAGTGGCCTATAATCTATATAGGTTGTTCCATAAATCAACGTCAATCGGTACTTAGGTGATAGTGCAGGTAGAGCAACCCCAGGGAATTAACAATTAAAATTGTAATTTTTTAAATTATTGCCAAACCAAAGTTTAAATTAATCGTTATGCCATCCAACTATTTAACAATATTGAAAAATTGTCTAGGTATGCAATATTGGCAAGAGACAAAATGATGACGCATTTAATCCAAATTCCAATTTGGTACAATTTCTCTTGTTACTTACTTTTTTTCTGGGTTTAGCTCCTCACACACCTGCTTTATTTCTGACTTCGTCTTGACGTTAATGTCTGGGACACCTGTTTTCATATTGACCATGACTTACGAGTTTTCATATAAATACTAATACGAGACTCTTATCATACTAAGTTATTTACGAAGCTTCTATTGACATTAAGCGATATTATTTAACATTTTCTGTTAGACAAATAGTACAATGGTTGTATAGAGGTGATATTATCCGTGTAAAAATTGGATTATATTCCGCCCAAACTATTGACAGCTTAAACACGCGATTAAATTCAAATTCAAAATGGTTTTAACATGTAAAAAACGTGTTTCAAGCTATTAAAACCGGCTTTGGTTTCGTATTATGTATTTTGACAATGACAAGTGACATCAAATTACATTTTAAAAGTGTCAGCTGTCAAAAGTAAAATGGTCGGAATATATCTCGCATAGCTTTTGTGTCTATGATCATTGAAACCACGTTACGAATTCTAAGAGTAGAATTTGAATTGTGGTTACTTAATGTTTATTTATTCTATTCAAAGATGTGTTGAATCTTTGGTTCGTAAGAGATATATTTATTAAATTGAGCCTCGTTTGGCCATTTATATTTTTTAATATATTATAAGGAAATATAATTCACTCGTTCTATGGCAAAAAGGCCACACACTGATAGTTTGAATACGTACTTATGTAAATATATTTTCATATTAACCTAATTTATATTATTGTTCTGATTATATTTTTGTATAGGTTATGTCCGAAATGGTAATTTGCGATTTTCTTTATATTCCAAATTGAATATTACAACTTTCCATACCACAGATCAGGCACAAATTGATTTAATTTAACTTATTATTTAATAACTTATTCTTAGCATAATTGAAAATAACGGCTGTCAAATGGCCTACAACTTGAGTTGACAATTTACCGTTTCGGGCGTTAGTTTTAATGACACTGATATATCATTTATTTACATAATCTACATTTTGATATTACTGTAAATATTCTAAATTAATTTTATTGTTATTTGACCGATTTTGTCTGCCATATGTTTTTCGTCCATCTTGTATGTTAAAGCATTTATCATACGAATTGTAAAATGAGTTGAACACGGTGTATGTGTTCGAGATGTGATGCAACATAATATTATCAAATGGCTCAAAGTTATAGATTAAGTGAGAGATTGGGTAATTTTGATCGACAACGAAATTATACGAGAAAAGCGAAAAAAAACACGCTCAAAACAAATAATAATAAATCTCTTAATAGTCTATGTTCTTACTGAGAGCAAATTTAAAAATACATGACACCACAGAGCACAGAAGCAATTTTGAAACTGACAGTTCCATATAATAGCGTTTTTTTTTAATTGCACCGTTGACAATATTCAAATTAAGTGTTGTTATTCAATATTACTCAAACTCAATGCATGCAAATATTTAAGGAAAAATACAATGTGATAATTATAGAATATTATAGGCTAGGAAAGCCTCATGGGGCTTTTAGGTAAGAGATTTCGGCCTTTGAATTTATAAATAACGAATATATATAAGTGATAAGTGTCATGAGAAATTATCTGTTAGATTTGACGTAACCGACATTGACGTTGACAATTGACTGTTGAAATTTGTTCGAAACCCTCGTGGAATGTGTAAACTTAGTTGAATCGAACGCACAATTTAGTTAGAGCATAGATTTGCTAGTAATGAGATATTTTATTGGTATAAGTTAATAAACCGGGTAAGATGCCTTTAAGTTCTTAATAAAATGACTCACTGTTTGTGTATGTTAAAATGTTATGATATTAGTACAAAATACAATTAGGTTGCATAATTCAATCCAGGTTTGATTTTGAGACTGTATTCTTTATTTCGGCCAGTGAAAAAGTTTTATTTATCGTTTATATTGAAAGTAATCTACTGAGATTAATTAATCTAAAAATTAAATTAAAATAAAAAGGAAATTTACGTAAATATTTATTTGCAAGAATGAGGCATCTATACCGGTTTTACCATATACAAAACTGTTTACAGCTAATTAAGTTAATTTGACCAATGTTGTCGTATCAGACGGGTTACTATGCTATCTTAACTGATAATTAGTTATCAATTGACAATACTAACAAACCATAATTAGGTCATCTAACTATCCAATTTCTATGGAAGATTTTTTTTTGTGTGTATCATTTGAGGGGCATAATACTCCATCTGAAACAAATAAGTCTGGTTGAAGAATGAAGATTCTGTATATTTTCTTGATGTCGCTCAAATAATGGCCATAATGAGCTTATAGATAGTAATTTCTGCTATACGCTGGTAGTATAAGGCTTCTAACTAAAAATCTCTATTTTTCTTGAAAGAGTTATGCATATCAAGGACCAGTCTTAAACGCAGTTTTAATTAACTTAAATTATTCACGAAGTTTCCGTTAAGTTACTTAAAGCTGTTGTGGGCGTTGTCGTTAATTAAGTATGTTGTTTCAAAGATATGTAATCCCAAGTTTCTTAGGGTAAGATTCTGTCGGGACAACGTTAAGTATGACTCTTGTATGTCAAATGCGTTTTTGACATATGGAAGTGATACTCGGCAATTTTCGAATCTATTTCTAACCTTTAGTTATTTCGAAAGCTCTTCCATTTCTTGGGAATTTTTAACTGCACTGTCTTCTATATTGATTATTATTTCGAAATTACTGGTTTGATTATGATTCCGGTTTTGAAGAAAAATGGTAAATGTAACAGGGACTGTAGGCACAGGTTTAAAAACCAGCTGCTTTTTAGAAAAACGACTAGTAAAAATAATTACTGGTATTTTTAAAGGACGTTATTCCATAGAATCTTCTTTATCGTTGACACACCAGCACGGAGAGTTCGTAAAATTTGATAAACGCGAAGCAGTAGCGATTTGTATGTATGGTCTTGAGCGACGCTCCTTGGGTGTATTTGGATGTAAACTGAAGTACTAGGATTATTTAAATAAACCTACTAACGTCTAGAAAATATTTGAAATTTGCAAGACTCTCCCATAGTTTTTTAAAGTTATTATATCTTTTGACAGCGCGAACCCATGTGGTATAGATTATTATGTGTGGTAACTTGTGTTTGTATAGAGATAGATACATTTTTTTTACACATAATAATTCCCCGCCCCGCATCGTAACGTTTTACAAAAGGTCCCCCCCCTCCAAAATTCGGTACGTAATACTTGAACGTTCCCTAGATTATATGTAGGTTTTGATGCAATTGACGAATCACGATTAACAGGAATTAACAGTCGTTTCGTTTGAAATTCTCATCTCCCTGTTATAGCTTTGCTGTCAAACTGACTTAAAGGTGTCAACAATCTTCATTTAATGAGCCATATGTAACTTCTTTGTATAGATTTTGGGATAAAAGAAATAAATTATTCGTTAGTGCCTTCATTAGTTACAAATACGCTCAGGGACCCAAGTTTCATACAAACGTGATCGTTGTTGCTATATATAATTTTACATTTTAGTGCTGTGTACAAAATTATAAGTTTCCCCTAAGCTGAATATAATATGATTTTTACATACCTATCTAGTTTGTATTGTGTTCAATTATTTTTTGTTATGGCTTTAGTGATCAGTGCAGTTATTTTCGTGCAATATTGTTTGTCTAAGGCCACTGCACTTAAATCTAGTCAAACTGTTAAAATTAGTGTTTAGTTCGGGATTTGTAGATTTTTTTTTAATAAATTGGTTTAATTTTCAATGTCTTATTTTATTTATCGAATGAAATTAAAGTTAATTTACGACCCTATACAATGTTCATCAATTATGATTTGACTCCTTTAAAGAAATACTAGTAAGATTTATTTTAATCTATATAAATAAAAATGAATATCTAAATATGTTGCTAAGCGCAAAACTCAACGTCGGCTGTAACCATTCGAGTAATTTTGTTTTATTTATTTTAGATAAGAACAAATATATAACTTCGGTATATTATTCAGAGAACGAATAACTTAAAAACCGTGTGGCGTTGGAATTCTTGTAACAAAGGAAGTTTCGAAGACGGTGACAGATTTTTCACCAAGGTCTAATCGAGCTATGATGATA